GAGGCGCCCGGTGTGTCCTTTTCGAGTAAACCCACACGTGAAATCGGGTTATACCTGCGAACACCTGTGACCTAACGAAATGAATCATTCATTTATCCAAATGATTTGAAAAATTGAAGAGACTATTTCAAATAATATTAAAGAGATGAGAGAAAAAAACGAAATGTCTTAATGATCGCTAATTTGCAAAATTCAAAAATTCAATTGCATTTATTTTTATTTTTTGATCCAATGAAAATCCAATGGAATTGAATAATGAATATTCAAAAAAAAATGAGGAATTTTCAATAGCTGGAGTTACATATTTTTTTTGCAACAATTCAATTGAATATGAATTCTCTCCAATTATCAATAAATGGATAATAAAATTGTATTTTATCCATTTTTTTTTTCTCTCAAAAAATCTCGTTACAATTTATTTATATTTGAATGCTCTTGAATTCTTAATTAAAATTTGTAATTGATTTCGGATAAGTGAGGATATATGAAGTAATTTCACTTTGACACTCGACTTGTACCTAGCGTCATGCATTTACCCAGTGGATAGCGTACAAATACAAATATATCGTTTACATAAGCTGTACAGCGTACGTATATCGCATTACGTTCCGCGTGTGTCCAACAAACCGCATTATATCGCATTAACTCCGGTATACACTGCGGGTAAAGTGTTGGTCTCAATTTCAACGAGATATAGAGTACGTACGTTTGAAAAATAAAGTTTGAGAGACGCCATACATGCCAGTTTGACGGGCCAACCGCTTTAGCACATCTCATAAGAAACTAGACCCAGATCTTCCTCTTATTTAAATATCAAATGCAAAAGGTGAATAAATAAAATTGAATATACGATTTCCACAGTGAAGAGTCACATCTGAAATTCACGGACTGGTAATTCGGTTTAATTATCAAAGGGTATTGAAATTATTCATTTTATTTTTGTTTCGTCATTGATTTTACCATAGAGTGATGTGTGCATTTTTATTTTGTGGGTAATACCACAGCTGTGAGTTGTACGGTAATTATCAGCGAGGAAATGGAAATTTTCACATCGGCCTCGGATATGCGTTGTCTCGGGTAATTTAATTTTCCGCGAATTTTCCAAATTGTTTCACGTAATGCCAGGGAAATATGAGAAATCCAGAATTATTCGGTCGTGTGAAGCAACTGATGAATTTTTTAAATGACTATTTTAATTACGTTTTTATCCACCAATGGGCCATGTTTAATGACCTAGTCAATTAACCACGTTTTCCCGGATTAATGAGTTGCCTCTTCTCTGTTCACCATTCTCACGCCCTCTTACACCCTCCCGCCCCTCCACACGGGGAATCCCTCAAACGTGTTTTCTTTTTTTTTTTGATCACAATAAATGTTCGCGAACAGATGCCAGATGGAAATGTTTTGAGGTATTATCTGAATCTCTTCACATTACTATTAACTATTACAAAATCGCCGCACCACACGCGCCGGCATTTGAATTTCCCGGTTCGAGTTGACCAATAGCGAATCAGTCTTACGAATTTCGAGATATTTCGACTCATGCCAACTTCATTTATGTGTTTATGCTTTCATAATAAGGAATCACTATTGGTTCATGATATATCCGTTATTTTATATTGCAAAAAATTTTCGATTTTCAAGAAAATTGAACCATCTTTAGCGTCGGGTATCTCTTTATTTATGTAAAAAATAAAAAAGTAGATATTTGCATTGTCATGGATTTTATCAATGTAACATCACGTCGAGGCTTACATGATACCTCAAATATAATTTTAATTCCCTGTCCTCCGGGGACATCTACCAATGTATGAGCGCGAGATCACGATATCTGAATATTATCAGGGGTTGGTGGGTGGTGGG